TGTGGTACTTTGTATTTCTCACCATTTTTAAGTATTTCATGTATAAAAATAACTAAAATAAAATATTTTTACTATAATTTAAATGTAATACACATTATATAATTTACACTAAATACAAGCATCAATTAAATCATATATTATTTTTTAAACTTATATCCAAGGCTTCTTTTAATAATGTTATATATTGTTAAAAATCATATAGGGTAAAATTTTGAAATTCGTAGTAAAGTACCTCGATGTAGAGCTTATAGGCTTCCTTCATAATATTCCATGTTCTAATATGGTATAAAATAAAATTATATTTGCTCTTATAAAACTAAAGTACTATCTCAAATAAGATCATAAAAGAGCCTTCATTAATAGAAATTGGTCAAATCATAGAAAATTGAGGAGATTGTAAGGTTAATTTTGAAGGAGCAAAAAATTAAGGTACTCTATATTGAATTCCAAATAATAATAATGATGACACTATAGGATATAATTTTTTTTGACATGACAATTTATTGCAATCCTTATTGTAATATATATTTTGTGACCTAAAATTCTATTGTAAATTTAGCAACTTGCCAAAATATATCACAATAAAATATTTATGACATAGTGTGTATCACAAATACAATGATAATTGAAGACGAGGTTATAATACCACAGAATAAAATTAGGAAGAATTATCTATTTTATCTCCTTAATTAATCAACTAAAGCTTCTATAAATCATAATAATAATAATAATAATAATAATATACATACATATATATATATAGTTTCTCTATGCTCATGCACATCAAAATTTGTGCAGCCGCCTCGCGCGGAAGTGAATTTCCTAATTTTTATCTCGTGTGATGATCGAAGCAATATGTGCATCTCTCTTAACTGTTTCTAATATCCATAAAGCCCTAACACAGTCAGTTTTACGGGAATTGTTTGGGTAACTTTTGTTCTTGGTTATTGAGTTTTGAATAGCATTTGCACAACATTGTGACCATTGCTCGCCATTTATGCTCGAGGTCAACAAATGCCTCCTAATAAATATGATGTGTTCGAAATGGACAATACTTGCTGCAAATAGTTGACATTGAGGATTTCCAAGAGCTTTTTTTAACATTAAATTGAGAATTCAACTTTATATATTTCTTTTAATACAAAATTGGTTAACAAAATGTACGAGTTGAACTTTAACATAAAGACACATTTATGTCTATTAGTATTTGATTTTATCCTGATGCATTTTGATATATTCCCTCTGTATCCAATGTTGAAGTTTATGTTGAATAAAATTGAAAATGTTATTTTGTTTATGTGACTAGAAGTTATAAGTAAATTTTGAGGATGAAATTTTTTATAAGAAGGGAAGATTATAAGAACTGGTTGGCTTGAACTTAATCGGACCATTGCACTAAAGAGTGGGCGAGCGGGATCGCGAGCTCAAGCAAGCGCAATCGATAGGTTCGATCGTGTTAGCAAGCAAAGAATAGTGTTCATAAACGAAAAGTAATGACTCATTGTGGGAGATAATTACGATTCATTCACTCCTGTGGAATCTATGAGTGGATGAAAACAATAGTTGTGGGGATGTCGTGACCGAGAGGAAGAAGAAAGAAAAGAAGCAGGGAATGAGCTTGAGCAGCGAATGAGGGAGATCGAGAGGGTGAGTACCAAAGCGAGAAAAAGGAAGATGCATGCGTGCGACTAGGGCTCGAGCGTTGGTAGTGGTGAAGAAGAAGGTGATGTAGTTTTTTTTATTATGAAGTTATTTATAGATTTTTTTGTTATTTGATAATAAGTAATATGCTAATATTTTTTTTTAAAATAAACATAAGATTTAATCCAATGCCTAATTTTTTGTACTTTATTATTTAATTTAAAAATATTAAAGTTGGAATTTAACGTTAGAAATTAGTCAATAAGTAAATATATTAGATTTTAATAAAGTTTAATATATCTTACAAATGGTATCAGAGAAATACACCATCCAGAAGATGAGAACTAAGTGCCATACAAGACAAAGTGCTATGCCATAAGAGTCACCTCTTGAACCCTATATGAGACAAAGTGTTACGCGACGGGAGTCACCACATGAACTTATAGGGGCAATCTCTAAAATCCTATCTGCCTGGTGGATGATTTTGGGATAAACATGCTAACGATGACATCATTTACTTAAGTGGATGAGATTGTGAAAACTCTTAAGTAAAAAAAGCTAAACTTTTAACCATCGAGATGCCTTTTGATGTAATGGTTGAAATTTTATTAAGAAACTATATAGTTAAGCATATTCATCCTAGAGAAATTCTGAGATGGGTAACATCCTAGGAAGTTACACCAACAGGATAACATTTAGGCCATTAGGCGAAAGCAAACATTATCTTAATAGTTGAGAGTTTGGACTGTTACATATGTGAACTCTTACCAAAATAATCAATTGCAAAGCCCAAGATAGTTGACAACTTCTAATCAATTTCATGATTTTCATAGTTACAATTATACAAAATAAATGGCAATTATATATAGCATATTTACAAGAGTACAATAACCAATATCATACACATGTAAGAAATATTAGATTGATGGAACAAACTAACAAATAATTAGATATTTCTAATAAATGCAACAGTATAAATCCATAATATATGCAATGATCATTCCACCTATTTCATTAAAACAAAACTAAAACAAGTCAGCTAATTATCATCATCATGAGCTTTCATGCTGTAAAATTTACATTCCTGAAAATTGATGCATTTAGACAGATTTGAAGCATAACCATCAATACATTTTAGATCTTTAACTCTCATACATTTGTTAATAATGTGTACGACGATTTAGGTTTTTCAACTTCTTCTCATTGAGCTCATTCTGTTCAAATTCGGGTCTTTTGCATAACATTGTCAAGTCGAGCTTTCATTTAATGTTATCCTTTGTCTTCTCCTTCGCGCTCATCATATTATTGAATATATTTTCTTAATATGCATCTCATCAATATTAGAAAAAATGAGATTAGAAAACTAATTTTTGCAATTTTCGATCAAGAATGTAAATAAAAAATTGAAACTAATTTGCAATTTGTGATAAAAAAAAATTAATATTTATGGGTCTGGTTGGGGAAAAGGAATGCATGGACAAAGCAAATTGAGACATGCATTTTTAATGACTTGCCTTACACTTCACATGACTCCTTGGCTTGTTTATATCATCACCAAACGCAATTACAAATTACGTGAATAAGGTCATTCTCTTCATTATTCTTTTCAAAAAGTTTTAAGACAAAAAACAGTATGATCAGATCTATGGAAGGACTCATTTGGGACGGCTTTTTTATTGATTTTTATAACAGCTTTTCTGTTAAAAAATAAGTTGAAATAAAGATTTTTATATTAACAAATTGTTTTAGAAAACATTAAAAAAGCTATCTCAAATGAAACAAAAATCTATATTTTTTACCAGCTTGATAATAGTAAAAAAACTGCCACAAAATAAGTGTTATTCATTTAGATGAAAATTTATTTTCTCATAACAGGCTATCTTATTTTTTAAAGAGTAATGTATTTTCACTTGATGATTTATTTATTTATTTTTAAATATTTTATTATTTTTTTGTATGAGTTGTTGATTACAATCTAAATTTGATGCAATTGAAATTTCACTGTGGCACATTGAATTTATGTGGTTTCATTATCAAATTGATTTCTTCAGATTCGATCGATCATTGCTTTGTCATTTTAGTTCAAATTTTCCTAATTTGCACCTTGAAATTGAGTTTTTGAGTATTTAGAGATCTTTGATATGTAATCACCCTAACTTCTTTTATGTGATTATCATTCATTGCTTTACCCTAACTGTACGAGAAAATCAATACCCTAAACTTCACGACATCAAATTGATATACAAGCTTATTGTTATATCTATTAAATGTAGGGCATATTAATTAAGTTAATCAAAATTAGGAAGTATGTAGGGGTTTCAATTATTGACCCGACTCGAAAACTCTAGGTTCGGATTCAAATTTTTTAGCTTGTTTGAAAATTCAGGTTGGGTCTAGTCAATGTCCGCTAACCCGAATTTGACCCGAGTCCCTATCCGATCTCACATGTCACCCCAGCACAGGCGCCTCGCTCTGGAATCACTCACCCCGCATAATCGCGTTCGTGGTGCTCACACATGTTGCCTGCAGTAGCCAAGCACTCGCAACAATGTGGCCTCGCCCTCACTGGTACCCGCGTAATTGCTCACTCACACGATCTCGCCCTTGCCCACAATCTCTGGTGCAGTTCCGCAGAAGGCCCGCACTCGACGCTTGCATGCTACGCTCTCGTACATACGGCCTAGCAGGTCAAGTCCCAGCTTGAATTTTCGACGGGTTTGTCTAATCGGGTCGAGTTCAATAAGATTGCTCAAAGGCGGGTCAATTTCAAATTTCACCTAAAGCCGACCTTAAAACCCATTTTAACACCTTAAAAATATATAATTTAATAAGATCATATAAGTCGTGATTCAAGAAGAATCCATCATAATTATTATGAGGTTCAAAATTTTTTCCAACATTTGATAGAGGATACGATTTTCTAAAAATTGTTAGAGTTAGTTAATAGTTTGTAAGATTATTTAGTTGCAAACAAAATAATTCTAGTTTATGTGAGTATTATATAAGTTTTACAATTCTTATAATTTTATCTCTCAACTATTTTGTTATCACTTGATCAGGTTAACTCTAGAAACTTCAAGAAGTTTGTAGAACTATCTTTCTTCTTGTTATCATTTATGTTTGTCCAAAATAAACAAACTATACAAAGTTTTTGGTTAAAGAAACCATAAAAGTTTTTCAAAAGTATTGGTATTAATTCTGCACTCAAGAAAACTCTATTTTAATTGTAAATTTATGTGAAGAATGAAACATTTTTCTTAGTATATAAATGCAAGCATCCTACTCAAACTCCAGTTATCCATTACAAACAAAAGAGGTGAGAAATAAACACACACTAAGCACAACTGAACAATAATAAATTAACTTATAACCTTTCAGACAACTCTTCATTAAATATTAAAGAAGAAAATTCAACCAAAACCTGGCTAATATCTTACCAAAACTTGACTAAAACATGGCTTTGACAAGCTTAGGAAGGGGAAAAGAAAAAGATAAAAGGGAAGGGTTAACATACCTAATGGTCATTTCAAGCAAAAGAAAGCCTCATTTCTTCCACCATCTTTTCTCCTGCATCTAAGCAGTTAGTTTACAAGATGAGGACCAGGGCTCATAAATGGAAGGACACATGAATAAGTGACATACTTAACACTATCAAGAAGCACCACTACAAATATTCGAGAAATCGATTTTTTCGTTGAGATTATCTCTTCGATATCACCGTCACCGGCTTCTCTAGGATCCACCAAGATGGAGACAACCATGGAAGTTGCCGAGGTATTAGAAGGGAAGCTATTGCTCTCTGGTGTCTTACTCAAGTGTTCAGAGTTGTTTAGAGTAGATCCAGTAAGTGGAATGGCTCTTGGATAGAGAAACCTTCTGTTCTTTTTTTCTGGATTTGAAGATCCAGGGAGGTTTTCAGTTGTGTTGATACTGGAGGATTTAGTTGAATTAGCTGCTGAGGAAGCAGGGATGATGCCACTCTGTTCAACTGAAGTTGGGGAAATTTCAAACTGGAAGACTTCAGTGCAAGTTCCAGAACTGAATATTGGACCTGTCAAATTACTTTTTTGGATTAGATTAAGCTGATCGTAATCTTACCTTGAGTTGAGTTTACAAATGGATTATAGAAGAAAATGAAATATGAATATAGAAAGAGATTTCTATCATTTGACAAGATGTAAATACAAGTTTCTCTGACTAAAAGTAACCAAGTAATATTAGCATCAAACCAAAGAATATTAGTAACCAAGTAATATTAGTACCAAACCAAGTTTCTTATCAAGATCCTTGGGTGAAAATCTGGAGATCAAACAAGCCCTTCCCCTCACACAAATCATTGCCAGTATCTTTCTTAGCCTCATTACAACCATTAGTGGTCAATTTTAGGTTAAGAAAACTATTGAAAATAAAAGTGTAAAATAAATTTAAAGTAATTTAGGCTAGAAAAAAGGAGGGAAAATTTTGTATAAAGAAGATGGGTAAACACAACTTTTAATTAGGCCTTTGACAATTCTAAATAATGTAAAAACTTCCTCCTCAATCTCCTAAATATCTATCTCTCACCTACTATCAAAAACCAAATATATTTTCCTACAAAATAAATGTTAAAAAGGTTATCAAGCATCATTTGGTTCAGTTGTGTTTATTTTCCATATGAGCAAAACCATTATATTCGTATAAAAATGCGACTTATTGCACAGGTTTAGTGCTTAGTGAATCATGTAGATTGTACAAATGCAAAATGGTGATTTTCTTAGCATTTTCTCACTAAGCCAAAACTGATTTTAAAAAAGTTAAGCAGGAGAAATTTGGAACAAGAAGAAATTTAAAACCATCTCTCATGCTTATGAATGAAAATAAGAAAAAAAAAAGGTCCTCCATAAAGCTAGATGCTAACTTAGGCTTATGATTGGATTATTTATAAAAAACTTACACGACTATTCTGAGCTAGCATGATTTTTCTCTACCAAGATCTCGCTAAAGAATATCCACCTAAACCATGCAAATTATCCCCTAACAAAAGATAAACATCTCAACAAACAATAATCTTGGCATCAATCAAATTTGATTAGCAGGGCTTTCAATCAAAATATATTTACATAAGATTTATCAAAAAAAGTTTTAAAAGAGAAAAGGAAACAGTTGAAATTCCAAAACTAGCAACTTTTGTTATATATTATTGTGCTGAGAATTTTAAGGTTTTAAATAAATTTATACTCCCTTAAAAACAGAGAAAGGTAGTTAATTGCATTATAAATATCATATCAAGCACAATCTTTATGCTTCAGATTTTAGTGCTAAAAACATTTCAATATATAGATGGGTGATCATGCACTAAAGCATACATTCATCATCAGCAGCATTACTGGCAATATCCAAATTATTTGAGGTCAGCCATAAATCCTTCTTTTACATTCACTATTTCATACATCAGCAAACTAGGCTTTATAAAACACCAAAATAAAACATGTTTTGAACCATTCAATGAAATTTCTCTAAAATTTTTCATCAATCCTTAAGGGAAAAATTGGGTCTGATAAAAGAATATAGGAATGGCTAATGATCACCAAGCAGCAAACCGAATTCTTCTTCAGATGGTAATCCATACAAACTTGCTTGTCCCCAAAAAAATCATCAAACCTTAAAAGCAAAATCGGAATATTTAAAACTGATTGTCCCAATTTTCATCATCAATACACCATGCAAAGCATCTGACAGTTATCTCTATGTTATAGTTAATTGAAGCTAGTAGGAAGTTTCAGTTAACATGGCATGCAATCTCAAGAGTAAACAAGGACGAAAAATATATAAGCTAAGCATCAGAAGAAAACCGTCACAGAAGAACCTAAGACAACAATCATTACCTGCTAGTCCTTCCCGGAACCATTGTTGCAGAGGACCATCCAGTGTTTTGTCATTCGATACATCTTCAGAATCAGAAGCAATAGCTCGCTGATGTTCAGCTGAGCTCCCATGGGACTTGGAAGGTCTATTAATACCATTAGCGGATTTTGATAAAGCTAGTGCAGAAGCCAGATTTCCAGGAACCTCGAAGCCTGTTTCTTTGTCCTCATTTGTAGCAGATTTCACAGCCTGATTTCTAAACTTAGCTTGAGCAACTGCTTTCTCACTAGCCAAAACAGAATTGATTATTAAATTCCCATTAATCTTCACATGCTTACCATTTCTTGAAACATACAGAAAAGCAGGCAGAGTCTCACTAGAGTTCTGGGAATATGAATGATCATCAAAAGGCAGTGGCTTCTCTTCTGATCTCATCTGTCCACCATGAAAACTTCTATTTGTCATTTTATTAAGACTCTCTTGTCCTGAACCTTTTGCATTATTCAACTCAACTTCGTTAGAATAGTTCAAGCTACTCGTAAGACCACTAACTCGCAGAACCCTACCATTAGAATCGCCAAAATACCCGTTTCTACCTTGGTCTAATCCAGCAAGATTGCTACTTCCTTCAAAACTAAAATCTATCCTTGCTACTAAACCTCTGTAAATCAGCATCACAAATAGAAATCCCAAAAGACTAATGCTTGCTACCTTCTTAGTCTTACCTCCACCCTTCTTGTTTTTGGATTTGATAACCTTTCCAGCATTTGCAGGCTGCTGAAGCTTTAATTTAGGTATAGGAACCAATGGAATAGGAGAACCCTGAGGCCTAAATGCAATACCTGGAAAAGGAATCCACGGGAAATGCATGGGAGTAACACCAGGCGGAACGCAAACACCAGGCTGAGGGCCGCCACTTCCATTTCCACCCAATTTTTGCTTTAGACTTGCATTTTCAGTCATGAAAAATGATATCTTGTTGTTCAATTCAGCAATTGTAGAATGCATGGACCGAACCTTCTCCTCCAGCTCCTCCACATAGTGCTTCTTCCTTTGCCTCGACAACTGGGCGCTTTCCCTGTTTCGCATAAGTCTCGCAGTCCTCTTCTCATCGTCCTCACTCCCAGCGCTAAAGACACAAGAGTTCATCTCCTCTGCCCGTCGGAACTTGCTGCTCCTAGGTTCAAGCGCAGAATTAGCAGTTCCTTCTTCCCGCTCTTTTCTCCTTTTGATCCCCCACTCGCTCTTCACCTCCTGCTTCTCTTCCCCAGCAGAGTTCGCCGGGAAGTTGGCGGAGTGGCCTGATTCTGGGGACCTCACGTTCATGTTACCCGATGCATCTCCGGTGACAGGGGAGGAGGACGATATGCCTGAGTCTGGCGGCGGCGATCCATCGCAGGATTGACGAAAAGGATCGGAAAGCTCCCCGGGACAATCGGTAAGGAGAAGATCGTCGACGGAGACATCCCAATTGATGTCATGGAGGCCGAGATCGAGATCAAGGTCGGACGTGAAGCTTCCTTGAAGGAGGCAGTGATCTTCCGGTAAGAGATCCGAATAGAATAAGTCGGAGTTAGATAATGGTTCAATCAGTGGCGAAAAGGAATCGGCAATAACGTTCTCCTCCATGGATTAGTGATTCGAGGAGCTGAAGAAAAAGGAAACGGGACAATGAAGGGTTTTTCCCTTCAAGAACTTTCCATACCCAGGGTTTCTCTTCTACGAAACCGTGTGGGCATCGGGTCTCGTCTTCCTCCCAAGGCTAGGGAAAACTTTGATGTCGTTTGGGGCGATTGAAACAGCCGTGCGAAATAAGTTTTGAAATAAGAAGTCTACAGAACGGATCTAATGATGACAAACGCCTCTCTCTCTCTCTCTCTCTCTCTCTCTCTCTCATATTTGAGTTTATATGTCATAATATTTTAAATCACTAAACTAGACAAATATACTTATTAATTTATTTATTTAAATATATCCCAAAATTTTAGTGTGACTAAATTTCCTTAATTTTGATCATAGACTTGATTTGAATATGTTTCACTGCTTATTTGAACGAGCACCGAGCAAAGTTTGAATATAGTTTATATATTATGAAAATTTATGAAAGAGTTGAAACTTAAACACTTAACTAAGCATATGTAGACGTTAAACATGCAACAAAGAGATAATTAGAGAGAGAGGGAAAAAGAAAATTTAATGAGCAAGAAACTCATGACGAGTCGGTGACTAGTCGATTGAATATCTCTACGATTGTGTTGCTTCGCATTTATTGGTCACGACTATTATTAAAGGGCCAAAGACGAGAGGGCTAAGGAGAGATGAAAGAAAAGATAAATAGATTGGGGGGGGGAGGGAAAGATGGGACTCATCATCTAACTCACAAGGTCAAATTCGTTATTGTCTAGTTGTTAGAGTGTAGGATCATCAACTAAAATCAATGGTTAAAGAGACAATATAAAGCACCAAAGTATCACCAAGCCACAAGAGATATCACCAAGCAACAATATGTTTTACAAGATTCCAATTGTGTGTATTTAATTAGGCTAACTAAGATTCCAAATCAAACATTTTTTATATTTTAATATTAAAATTTAAAATATTATTAATTAGATGCTAGTAAGTCAATGATGGCCAGTGCTTCCAGACCCTTACTATAGCTCAGCCATTGTACCAAGCCCACTTAAAATAATTCTATCATTGTATCATATAGATTATAAATGTTATATTTCTCAAATAATTAGGTAAGCCATTGATATAACATAGTAGATATCAACTATGAAAGATGGATTCTATAGTAAAAGTCAAAAGGGCTTTGAGATATTAGATTTGTCTTAAATAGATCATTTATAGTATATTTAGGGGCTATTTGGTTGCAAGAAAAAGAAACGTAATGTAAAAGAAATACTTTAGATTTGTTTATGTTGAAACTCGTTCACTATGAATTAGGTTGTTAAACCTAAGCTTATGTCCCAGCGGCTAACCAAGAGGGGGGTGAATTAGTAATTAATTAATCCCTCTTTTTAATTTTTAAACCGAAAAATAAATTTTAATGAGTTTTGTAGAAAACGTTTTTCAGCCACAGTTTTAAAAGTAAAACCACAAAAATAAAAAAGGCAGCGGAAAAATAAAGACACGAGGTTTATAGTGGTTTGGTCAAAACCAGACCTACATCCACTCCCCGGAGGCATCCTCCGAGTATTGCACTAATACCAATAGTGACTCTCATTTTGCACCCACAGCAAGGCGGAGAAGCCTTTACAAACACTCTTTCCACCACTATCCTGTGCGACACAGAACCGTCGTCCTTTTACACTATCCCCAGTGTTGGCAGAGAACCTTCGTCCTTTTACACTATCCCCAGTGTTGGTAGAGAACCGTCAACCTTTCACACTCTCCAAGTGTGGGCACAGAACCCTTCGGCTGTTCACACTCTCCAAGTGTGGCCAGAGAACCCTTCTGCTGTTCACACTCTCTAAGTGTGGGCAGAGAACCCTTCGGCTGTTCACACTCTTCAAGTGTCAACAGAGAACCAGATCTCCTTGACAGATCTTCTCACAAGAATTCTAGAAGGAAGAGAGAAAAGAGTGAAGTAATCACAAACCAAGAGTAAAGACTCTTACCTTTGAGTACCAAGTGAAACCTTCACGCTCCAATGGCAAGAAATCTCCTTCAAACACTCTCTCACACTCTCTCCTTGACTCTTCTTTCAATAGGCACGAAGATCAGTAAGCAAAAATATTATGTGGCAGTTTAGTTTGGACTATTTATAGGAAAGACACAAAAAACCGTCCAAAAATTATAAATTTTTAAGTCAATACGAATTGGATCGTCACGTACGATCGTGGATCGTCCTGGACGATTTTACTTAAATGAGTTGGAAACAAACCTAATGTATATGGGTATGAAATGACTTCGTACACACACATCATCCCGTACGAAGTAGGTTCGTCCGGTACAAACGGTTATTCCATAGGTCGGTTCCCAAAAACTGCAGAATGACACTTAATTTTCAAAGTTGGTTCACTTCGTCCTGGGACGAATTTAAGGTTCGTCCGGACGAAAGTTTTACAGAGAGCAAATCATCCCAGTACGAATACACTTCGTCCTCGACGATAGTACTCCAGAGAGCAACTCGTCCTGGAACGAATACACTTTGTTCTTGAACAAAAATTTTCCAGAGAATATTTCGTCCTAGGACGAATACACTTCGTCCTGGACGATCAAGACTTAGAAAAATTTTCTTCAATTCCTGTTCGTTCCATTGCTCTTATGAGGAGATAACTGACTTGATCGTCTCGTACGATTAGTACAAATTTCTCAAGATCTCCTAAAGTGTGTTTGTGTATTCACTCAATTACAGTCTTTCCCTCTCAAATTTAATTCAAAGAAAAATACAAGTTTTTAAACACTCAAAATATTTCATGCTGAATTTGATTTAAAGTCTTTATAGTATGGAGTTTGATTTTCCTGAAATATTAGTACACACAAAAGCAAAAACAACTCTTCTAAAAAGTGTTAGGAGATAACTATACATAAAACAATAATATTTGAAATCATTAAAATTATACAAGTTGCAAGAATATAAAACATGTAAATAGTAACTCTCTTAACAATCTCTTCCTTTTTGATGATGGCAAAATAATTATTATTCGTATAATTTTCAAATTTAAAAAATCTCCTAAACTTCTCCTGAATTGATGAACACGTGTAAATAAGAAGGCATTTTTAGAAATATACAGATACAAAAAAAAAACAAACACACACAACGTATACAACAAATACAAAATAAAAATAAAAACAGATCAAAACAAAAATAGATAAAAAAAATGATACAAACAATTTCTCCCCCTTTTTGACAACAGCAAAAAGTAAAGAAGAAAAAGACTTGAACTGTAAGCAGACATATGAAAATTATTTGATAATTCAATCTTGAAAGTGATTAAAATATGTTATTCAAATAAAATTAAAATATTAGGCAAATCATATTAATTCATAGAATTTAAGAAGAGAGATAACCTTGATAATATAAAGAATATATCAAAAGTATGAGTCAATTTAGACACTAAGATAGAGAAAATCATTGCAAAAAAAGATGAATAGAAAATTTGTATATTTCAAATTTCAAAACAGAATATAAATGTACATTATATCAATTTGAATTAAGAGATTAAAGGATAATAGAAAGAAATAATTACCACATGTGGCATTTTGCGCATCTTTTTCAAATTATTGACACATTTTTTATGCATCTTTTTACTTTTGGGCTTATTTTATGCCTCTTTTTCTACTTGCGAACCATTGCGCATTCCTTTTGATTTTTGTACATTTGTACATTTTTCAAGAGTACTTTTGATTTTTCCAAAATCAATAATAAAAAAATTCAAATTTTTTAAGTGCATAAATATTTATTGATAAATGAAATATAAAATAAGAAAACATCATAGTTACAATAATAATATTAGAATTAATATAGTCTAAATAAGAGACATGATTGTTATAAAGGCTAACACATCAAGTTATAATCAGAACTTAAATTTAGAAAAAAATTAGATTTTCTAATGAATTTAATTTAGACTTGCGCTTCAAAATATAGCACTATTAAGATCAAAAATCTAATGATTGTCATAAAGGCTAACACATATTTCAATATAATTTCAAAAATACAAGAACATATATTGATATCACTATGAAGATATTACAATCTAAGGTCAGGATATCAATACATAAACAAAACATCTAAAGTAAAGAAAATACAACAAACTTACTTAAAATACATCTGAAACACAAACTACAAAAAATACATAAAATTAAGTACAACTATCACTGAAAAGGAACCTGGTCTGATGGAGGAGGAGGTGCAGCACCAAAGATGTTAAAGTAAGTACTCATCATAAGTACATTGGTAATGATATCACTCATCTGATCCATCATAAAATTCATGTCATGCTGATACTGTGTGGCCTGCTGCTAAAGATGAGTTTCAATTTGATCAAAGCGTTGATCAAAATGAGTCTCTAAACGATCAAATCTTTGAACTAAATCCTGATAATTTGGTTCATTGGTGGGTGCAGGTGCAACTTCTGGTTCTTCCTCTGTATCACTAATGACATGAGTTTTACTTGGTTTTTCTTTGAAGATTGCTCTAAATGATCCGTCATTATAGTAGAGCGATTCTTCAAAATCTTGATCAGGATGAACCAAATTATATTTCATATCCAGAATGTTTGCAACTAGATGTCCTAAGGCGATGTTCTTCTTTCTCTTATGCTTTACATGTCCAATTTTAGACAGCCCATAAAGATAGTCAAGAATAAGTTGGGCTTCATCTATAGGTTCTTTAGTCATGATCAAGAAGGTCACCATAGAAAGAAGAGGGGTAATGTTGATTCTATCACTAGCTTTATGAATTATAGAAGTTTTAAGGACATGCTAGATGATACGAGCATTACAAACTAGATCGGATACTCTAGCCACATGTTCATTCACATTGTTTCATCTAATCACATTATTAAGTTCATACCATACATAATCATGAGTGTTGATCAAGTGATGGGCTCTGGCTCCCTCTGTCCTTAAATTCAAAAAGGCTCTTAAGTCATTCTTGGTGATTTTAACTTTTTGTTTGAAGATAAATGAACGGATTATAGAGTGGTCAGAATTAAAGAACATGTTGGTGATGAAGAAGTGGAAGGTTTCCTTATTGTAGAGATAGATGAGGGTAAGGATAAAACCAAACTGTGTTGAGGCAAATAAGTTCATTACCTGAGAGGTAAGTTATTCTTGGATTAGAATTCAGGAGGGTGTGATCATCGCTGAGGAAAACCTAGGAAAAGATTCCTCATTTGTTTTAGAAAGGAA